CACTTATAAAGCTGGCCACAGTATTGGCTCTGCACCAATACTATAAGCAATAAGCGGTATCTAGCAACACATTATTGCCCCCAGATTATAAGTTAAGACGTTTGCACCGTCAAAACCTTTCCACGACTCAGACTCCGTGTAACTGTATCCCTTTGTCTCAATGTCTAGACTTAATGCAAGGGATTAATAAAATCCAGCTTGTATCCATTAAGTCATTCACAGATTCATCAAGTCTGACTAATAGGAACAGACGTCATAAAAACATCTCAGCATGGCCATGCAATTTCCTCAATCATAACTTATCAGTGGGCCCCATAAGACATTAATCTCTTTTAAAAGAGTAGTGACAAATTCTATGTACGTAATCTACGTTTCTGAATACGCGCTGCGGCATACCCAAAACAAAGCCTGTATACCATCCTTGTTTCATATGGCTTAGGACGATGCATCAAAGTATGCGGGTTCACATATGCATAAAACGTAATACTTCAAGTCGAAGGATAGTAACACCCGTGGTCGCGCTAAAGATGCTTAGAGCATGAACTAAAAATTCAAGCAACATCTTTAGAATGGGTCAGTCCGGCATCCTATTATCTCTAGATAATATATGCCCATGTGTGGATGCGAACACACCGTCATTGACTATGAGACTAAGTCAAACATCCAACACACACTAGTCTCACATGCATTAACGATATCCCACTCTCGTTAATACTCGACTATGGACATTTAGCTAAATATTTATTTCAAGATGTTAGTCTCATCAGCAGAATAACATTATCTGATAAACATCTTTTAAATATAAATCTAGGAATATAATATTTGTTTACATTAGCATGAGATGTGTAAACATATTTATCTGCCTATACATGATAGAATAATGATAAACAGTTGGCCATCAGGGCACAACTCCAACAATCTCCCACTTGCACTATGGCCAATCTGGCATCAGTCGAATTCCCATGGACCTAGTGTGACCCTCATGCTTTAGCTTTCCTAAAGGCTTGGTCAAGGGATCGGCTATGTTGTCGTCAGTATCTACTTTGCAAATCATCACATCTCCTATATCTACGATTTCTCGTATGATGTGATAGCGTCGTACAATGTGTTTGGTTTTCTGGTGAGATCGCGGTTCCTTTGCCTGTGCAATGGCCCCAGTGTTGTCGCAAAACAACAAGATAGGGTCATTAATACTAGGAACCACTCCAAGTTCAGTAATGAACTTCTTGATCCAAACAACTTCTTTAGCTACCTCGACGGCAGCTATGTACTCAGACTCTGTAGTCGAATCGGCGGTTGTATCCTCCTTAAAGCTCTTCCAGCTAAAAGTTCCGCCATTCAGGCAAAACAAATATCCTGCTTGTGATTTTGAATCGTCTCTGTCGGTTTGGAAGCTAGCATCAGTGTAACCGACCACCTTTAGCTCTTCCTCACCACCGTATACCAGGAATGCATCCTTAGTATTGCGAAGATACTTGAGGATGTTCTTGACCGCTGTCCAGTGTGCTTCTCCTGGACTTCCCTGGTATCTGCTGGTCACGCTTAAAGCGAATGAGACATCAGGTCTAGTACATATCATGGC